GTACTTCCTGTTGTTAGTCCATATTATACTTAGATTTCAAACAAGTTTCCGAATTAGCTGTAGGAATAACAAATACCGCATGCAATCCACTTTTAGCTAAGTATATTTGGGTAACATAAAATTCTGGCAGCGCAGTTAGATTGCCTAGGTGATTAAATATTTATAGCAATTTGTTAATGCAACATCTTAATTACGATATCACTTGTTGCAATTTAGAAGCAGCAATTTAGCAATCTACTTAGAGAATAAGTAATCATATACAATATGGATTATGTAAATGGAAACATAAATGTTTTAGTGAAATTTTAGGTTAACTAGGCTTCAACTGAATAATTCTTCATGGTTTATGATGGAACAATAAAAATCTTAAGACATCCTGCTGTACTGAAAGTTAGGTATTACTTTGTAAAAAATAAAGGGCATTAGGATGCTAATAGCCCAGTAGCCTCTATGTCCTTATTTATGACTGATTCAGAAGAAGTGAGGATTATTATTCAAAATTTAAAAACAAAGAGTGCACCAGGCTGGGACAACTTATCTGCTTCATTTTTTAAAATCTGTAGTCAATATCTATGTGAACCTATCGCCCATTTGTGTAATCTAAGTTTCGAAAAAGGAATATTTCCAAACTTATTGAAGCAAGCAATTGTCATACCTATTCACAAATCAGGTGATTTTACTTCCCCTAATAATTATAGGCCGATATGTCTGTTGTCCACTCTAACAAAAATCTTTGAAAAATTAGCTAACAAAAGGTTGATGCTTTATCTTGAAAAAAATGAATATTTAAATAATAATCAGTTCGGATTCAGAGCAAATAACTCCACCGAGGATGCTGTTCTTGCCTTAACAACTAAAATTACAGCTTACCTAGACAAAGGCATGAAATGTGCTGGTATTTTTCTTGATTTGCAAAAGGCATTTGATACGGTTTCGATTCCTGTGCTATTAACTCGACTACATAACATTGGCATCAGAGGAGTAGGTACCTCATTCTTGGTTTAGTGACTATTTATCTAACAGAACTCAAAAAATACGTATCGATCAGCATCTGAGTGGACCAGCCTTTTGCAGTTATGGAGTTCCTCAAGGCAGCATTCTTGGACCTAGCCTGTTTTTAATATATATAAATGAATTATGTCAAATTGAACTGTCAAATGCGGATCTGCTCATGTTTGCTGATGATACTGTCATTTTATTCAGTGGATCAAATTGGGATACTGTACAACATCTTGTCCAAATGGGATTATGTAAAGTCACTAATTGGCTGGAGAACAGCTTACTTACCATCAACAGTTCCAAAACTAAATGTGTATGTTTTTACAAAACAGCTCGATCTGCACCACCTAAAAATTTTTCTATTATCTTACATACTCATCCCTGTAACACACTCGAAACATCAAACACTGATTGCAATTGCTCAAAAATTGAAAACTTAAATTGCATTAAGTATCTTGGGGTTTTCATTGACAGCAAATTAAATTGGAGCAAACACATATCTACTTTAGCAAACCGGCTTAGACGTTTTATATTTGTGTTCAAAAACCTAAGAACCATTCTAAAACATGAACAGCTGATACAAATATACAACGCCCTGTGTCATTGCTTAATCAACTATTGCATCTGTTCATGGGGTGGTGCTTGCAAATCGTTCCTAATTGAAGTTGAACGTGCACAAAGAGCAGTACTGAAGGTTTCACTTTCCTTACCTTATAGGCACCCTACGATTGATGTATACAATAAAATAGAAGTTTTAAGCGTGCGACAATCCTACATATTGAAATGTGTAACTCGCTATCACAAGACAACACCTTCTTTAAATGTAAACAAGAGAAATAATTTATTTAAATTACCATTAGTTAAGACTGTTTTTGCCAAACGTCACTATAATTTCCAAGGTCCTCGTCTTTATAATAAATTCATCAAGGCTGTCAAAATCCAAACAGGTAACCCTTACATCATTAAAGCAGAAGTATTTAAATGGCTAAAAGATTTCGATTATCATGAATGTGAAAATCTAGTCTTGGTTTAGGAAAAGTTAGTTATAATACTAGGCACATTCATTTACAATGTAATCCAACGATATAGGTACTCACTTATATCCATTTAAACATACAAAATACACACACTCACACACGCACAACCACACACACACACACCCACACACAGACACACACACACACACCTGGTTCTAGCATGGTTAACCTAATATAATAATTTGTAAAAGTTAAAAGTCTTATTTATTTATTTTATCTCTCTTGTTCCTTTGGTATTTCATTTCTTAGTCTGCATAAGCCAAAATGTAATACTTAAGAGAGCACTGACTCCTGACATACAGGGCAACCTAATTTGGGAGACAGGGCAAATTGATTTGTTACGCTATGTAGTTACTCAATAAAGAAATTTTATTATTAATTATTATTATTATTATTATTAAGGAGTTGAAAACAATCGATTGTTTTGTAACTGATGGTTTAATAATAATATTTGTTCATGATGCCTTACACAATAATTGCTTTATTCAAAGCGGCTATAAGTCCCGTAAATTGCTAATACGCTGGAACCTTGTCTAAATAATACCCGCGTGACGTCATATGCAAATAGAAAGTAGGTATAGATAGCACAAAAGGCAAGAGATTAATTATCGAAATATTTAAGAATAATCGGAAAGAATATTTTTTAAAACATAACCAAAAGTAATAATGAAGTGAGAGACATTAAATATATTTATTACTAGCTGACCCGACAGACTTCGTCCTGTCAAAAAGATTTGTAATGTGGCAGTTTTTTTGCCTACGTATTTAAAAAAATTCTCCTGAACAGAACCGTCACCCTGGTGATAGGGCGTTGTGAATAAAAAATAATTAAATAAAACATATATAAGGATTTAAAAGTAAGTAATCGCTTTATTGTTAATCATGTGAATCATAATTATTATTGCAATGTATTAATAGTAATAGTATTAAATATAGAAAAAAGAGATTTTTATGATCATAAAAACATATTACACACAACAGCATTATAAAAGTAAACTATTCGAATTAAAAAATAATATAAACATTCTCAAGGAAAAATGCTGGAAGAATCCATCTACCTGTACCCCGGAATGGGACTCGAACCCATTCGCGATCCAGGGACTGCTCTAACCAATGAGCTATCTAGAACCCAACAGCTTTGCTACTACAGAGCGTATTTTCATCAATGTTCCGGCAATACATGTAATGACGTGGAAACTGATGCATTTTATCTCGCGTGCCGAAACTAATACAAAAGAAACGCGAGTTTCGGAACGCGACATTAAACTCCTCCAACTATGTATTCTGTGCTCCAACGCACACACGCACATTGTTTTGATAGATATGATCTTTGACGTTAGGAACACACCTACATTGCTTAGACAACAGTGAGTGCTTGTAATTTAATATGAACTTTATACCATAGCAATAAAGCTCAAATTGACTACGTTTTAGTTACAAATCATTTGTATGGGAAAAAGAAAAGGGCTATTTTTAGGGTTTTTCCAGCAATAATTCTAATTTTTCTCGCCGTAAAAACCATCCTTGAACTTCAACGAACATTTTAAAAAAAGATTTGGCCAAATTGGTCGAGGCGTTGTTGAGTTATGCGCTTACCAACACATTTTGCGATTCATTTTTATATATATAGATTAGTAAAATTATGTATATATTTTTGTGAAAATCATATTAGTAGTTACTATTTTAGTCAACCATAACAAGTAGCAATAAAACTTAACACTAACAATCGAAACCAACAAAAACATAACAAAACTGATGTGCGATCCTAACACTAGGTAGCTTAATAAGTGTACTCGTCAACTAATATTTATTTGTTAAAGGTACTGATTTTTGAACGCAATTACGTGGCGTAGTCAAAATGGCGCCCAGGCGCGTTAGCAATTTGCGGGATTATACCATTTAAGATGCTACGACACAATACATTATATGGTTTTGATAATTTTCCAATCGCAAAAAATTCTACAATGGGCTCACGCTTGACCTCATGAATAAAATCTACGCTGGGACAAGCTTGCCCAGAAAAAACCTATTCACTCTTGCCTTAAATAGGTCTGGGTTATTTGCAACCAGCAGGGAGTTAAACTTCTTGGCAGAGCACAGTAAAAAAGACGATGAATAGAGCTTTGAACGGCATCTTGGAATATCCACCAAATGAGGTTTCCCGCCGTGTGTCTTTTTGATTGCCGATGGTAAATTGGTGAAGGCGGGATGAGCTCGCTCAACTCCTGAGAGCACTCCCCGTAGAACATCCTATAAAAGACAGACAAGCAGGCAACATTACGCCGATGGCCCAGTATAGCTTGGAATCCACTAGCTTTCGTCGCCAATGAGTCTCTTGGCTCTGAGTTTCATTGAGTCTAGTACGGCGAGCTGATATTTAGGTGCGTCAGTCCTTAAGTGACTGGAGCAGGTACTCCACGACAGGACTAGTGCTTTATACAGTCAAAAGCTTTCCCGGTGTGAAGGACCGCTTAACCTCGTTCAAGATGCCCAACATTCTGACAGCTGTTTGTGCGTACGTCATGCTAAGAAGCTCATAGGCTGTTTTACTCAAATTACTCTGAAATCATATACTATACTGAGGAAAGTTTTTATTTTACACTAGCTGACCCGACAGACTTCGTCCTGTCAAAAAGATTTGTAAATTCTCTTAATATGAACTTTATACCATAGCAATAAAGCTCAAATTGACTACGTTTTAGTTACAAATCATTTGTATGGGAAAAAGAAAAGGGCTATTTTTAGGGTTTTTCCAGCAATAATTCTAAATTTCTCGCCGTAAAAACCATCCTTGAACTTCAACGAACATTTTAAAAAAAGATTTGGCCAAATTGGTCGAGGCGTTGTTGAGTTATGCGCTTACCAACACATTTTGCGATTCATTTTTATATATATAGATTAGTTATTGAAATTTTCATTGGGTTACCCACCTGCAGATGGTTGGTTATCCACGTATAACTATATCTAATTGATACTTTTCTGCTGATGCAAAATCTTATCTTGTATATCCTTGTAGCATATTTCAATGAAAAATGCTAAAACAGAAGTTAACCATGCCGCTATTAAAATGACATAACATCCAGTATAATGTTCTAATTTTATGGGTTCATTCTTATTATCGTCTCTTTTGATAGAAATAGGTTCGGCATTATCCTTATAGCATTTTTTTGCGAATCCTGTTTCCACAAGTCGCTGCAAAACTATGTCAGTAGCCTTAGCCAATGGTGAAAATTTTTTGTAAAACAGAACTGATGGAGAAGTTATCAACCTTTCAGAAAGTACGTGAAGTAATAACTTATGTTCCTTTATTAAAATTTTCGCGGTCTCCGTGTTCATGGCCAGTACGAACCGCTTACCTTTCGCTATTTCAAATAATGTTGGTATTATCTCATCAGTTTCTAACACCACCCAATTGTCATATATTAACGGATCATCAATGTAATAGTCCCTTAATGCGCCACCACCTCCAAATGAATAATTAGCATTATAGGCGTCTTCCAATGAATTTATATCGTCGTAATAAAAATTACCTTGTAAAGAGCTGATTAGGTAAGCCTGATATAGCGTTCTGATTAAGTAACAATACCATATCCACGATAATGTTAAAATTACGAATGCTCGTTTCTTTGGCAACTTAGTTATAGGTAATCCCAAATAAGTCATCCATAGGTAGAAAATAACATCCTGTGTTGAAGAGGTGCGGTGAGATAAGCCATTCTTGTTAAAATATTTCGAATTTGCCAACCATATAAATAATATAAGAAGAATAAACGTGACCGCAATTACAATTTGCGATGGTACTTGAAAAGGATGTAACAGTTTCAGCGATGAAGGTTTCATCGGTGCAATGTGCATGAAATATGCAATCTGTGAGCGATAGTAGCTTACCGACATCTGAAAATGGGAAAATCTGGAGAGCGTTATTGAGGCTGATGTCATCGAGACGTGTGCGGTATCGTCAAGGAGATCACCAAGTGAGCCTGACCAACTACCATTGTCCTCGAGGCGACCCCAACCATTGCCATGACGTGGTGTCATCATTATTAAAGTAGCGTTCAAGCGTTCAGCAATCAATTGCACGAAATCACCGTCAGTACCTCTCGGTACTCCATTTTTTATATACATAAATGGCAGTTGTATAAACGTAGAAACTACTAAAGGGCAATACTGTAAATTTTTGAACTTTTCTGGAAACTTAGCGAAGCAAGGTTGCTCACTTGTTTCCGGACAAATTACCTTCTTGGGTTTTCCGAAAGTACAATTTTCATTTATATATTGAGACGTATAACCGACTACTTTAGAATCTTCAAACTTGAGGAATATAATACTCGTCATTTTGTGCATCCAAAATATTTCAAGAGCTTCCGTCACATCGCACTTTCTGGATACTTTCGATTGACAAATCACAATAAACTTTCCAGTGTTATCAAAAAAATGTAATGACATCCAATCCAGCATTTGCGCTATGTTTTCCATATCTGTACCAAACATAACATATTGTCGGGTAGTTTGTGCATAAGGAGTATAAAATAAACCTTTTCCGACTATATAGCTTTTATCATACAACGTGAGGAATCTTTCTACGCCACCAAATAAGGTTGCATTAAATACCACCAATGTTATATAGCGCCATTGGAAATTATGAAATGCAATTTTTGCTGCAGCTTCTGCTAATTTATTTGTATCAGGTTCCTTCAGTATAAACAAATTTAAATCATGTTCGATGTTAACTTGCATGTTTCCCGTTATTAACGACTGTTAGGCAAGTGTGGAAATCTATGTCGTAATGATTTTTATCTTGATCTAGTCACGACATCATGAAAAATGGTGGTTGGTATTATATTACGTTATGGTAAACAGTTATTATTCTACATTGTATAGGAATTATAAGCCGATCTGATGTATAATGTATGCCTTTCTAATGTAAAAAAAGTTACAAAGGCATAATTAACATATTAATAAATAATTTATTTATGTGTATAGTGAAATAAATGAAAGTCGTGTGACGAAGTGAAATCAAACAACTCGCATAGCTGAAAAAAATTATATTTTATGAGAAATTATAATTTACAATATTTCATACAGGCATCCATCTTCAGTCGGAACTTAAGCTAAAATTCTCACAATCTCACGCAAAAGGTAAAGCAACGTTAGACTATAATATAGTTATAGCAATATTTTTTGTAGTCATCGCCCAACCGTAAAAAATAAACAGGTAAGAACCACACCAGTACATGAATATCAGTCCATTCGTAAGGAAGATACGAATCCGCGACTTTCGGGCGCGGTTTGGCGGCGCTTTGGGTCGTTGCGTCCGCGCACTCGCTCACGGCTATCCAACGATCACGAGAGTACTATCGTCCCTTACATATATTATTATCACAGCAAGTACAAACTAATATGGTGCATGGCGAATTTTCGTTTGCGCAGAGTAGCCTTAGCAGTACCGACGATGACCGAACATGTCATTGAGTTTTATAATCATTTGTTTTGATAACTATAAGGTGTAAAATTAGTGTTCGTCTCGCTCACATTCGGCGGGGTCAGGATGCGCAGATCGCTCGATAATGACGCTACATTTGAATTATTCCGATTGGTCGACATTTGCTGCGCAGGTGATGCTGTGAGCCACATTAGTTTTATCTTACTGTACATTACCTAAATTTATCGACGTCTCACTCATATCATGTCGTTAACTTTGCCACGTAGCGAATTTTACAATCACTTTCTTACTAGACTACGTCTACTCACCAATAAATTAGTATCTTTGTGCTTTGTTTACTTTTGTTTAGTAGCTATTTATTTTAATCACGCGACTGGGCGACAAGGCAGTCGTTGACCTCATAAAATCAGTCTGACATAGAGGAATATCACCCAATGAAAAAATTTCACACTTCGCGTCAAGGAAAGTTGTTATATATTTATATGACGTTAGAGTGCACGTTCGCAAGTGGCCGCTCCGCGCCGCCTCGTCTCGCGCGGCTCTTGAGAACCACAAAGGTGTCTCGCTCGATAATTCACAATATTGCTGTACAATTGCACAAAAGAAAATAGTTGTCTATGTACAGGGCATACACAGAGATTGCACTTCAATGGGTAACATCAATAGAAAGTTCCAATATTGTGCGCTAAGTTTCAACTTCACAATATTTTGAGCATTTCAGACAGCTGTATATAATAAAGCATACAGTTTTGCTATTGACAGTGTCAGATGTCACGGTGCGCTTAAACATTGATGAAATCGATATGCTTACGATGTATAAAATAAAGACAACGAATAAGTTAATATTTATGTTACATCTCAAAATAGAAACTTTGTTTCTTACTATACATAAATAATTAAAGTAACACAACACAACACACTAAATTAAGCATAATATAATGAAATTACTATAAAATATGGAAAACATTTATATAATTATTTATTTATAGTTTGTGCTTTACGTTACGAATATAAAAAGGTGCCAATAGCAAAACTTGGCATTGAACTGTCGGCTCAATTCACTCAGCACATTTAGACCCAAATGTACAATATATTACATTCATGTGGTAAAAGCTTTCGTGCATAAAACATCGGTTTCGGTTTTTACAATTCACATCATTATTGGTATCCCACGGGTTTCTAGTAAAAAAAGTTTTATATCAAATGCATCAAAAATGTCCTTAAACAACTAACGTAGTTAACTCCCTATACGTATTTCGAATACGGCTAGCTGATTGGAATTTTCGTACACGGATAACGTTAGGAAAAAACCAAATACACCAGACCATCGCATACATAAAGCTTATACAGTAAACATAAATCATTTGCTCGAAGTCAATTCGTGTAGAAAAACACCATATTTAAATATAAACAGCTTAAATAATAAAATTCCAATGTACAAAAGTAACGTAATCTTTACAATACAATAATAATAAATATATAAATCTTCCAAGCTAACAGAACAAACGGTATTGATATATATTAAAGGTTTATGTTGATATCTGTTAATAAAATAGTGGTAGGACAGGTAAATACACTGTCTGCCGCCACTAGCCGAGTGAGAGACGCCCGCCTCTAACAAACCTGCGGGCCGTCATGTCACCTCGATAAATACGCAAAAGTTCATTGGACTAGTTTGTTCAAATCCATTTGGACATAATAAAATGTATACTAATGTAGAAAGATATTATGGCAACAAACTTTACAAAAATCCTAAAACAATGACTAAAAGCAGCTCATGATAGGGCCGAGACCCACCATAACTTTAAAAATGCACAATTTAATATTCACCGATACAGACACATACATAAATTGTGAATAATTTCATCATAAAAAAACATGTCAAAAAACCAGTCGCGTTTCTTGCGAACCGTCCGAAGTACGGACTAGAGCGAGCGGAGTCCGCAGGCTGGGGCCCGAACCTAGTTTTTGGGTTAAATGACTTACAATCTATCCTTAATTTCTCATTAAACATTTTAAGGTGAATAAGTTCGTCCGTCCGATCTCAGTTCGTGAATTTACACATTCTGTCGTGAAGTGATGATGTTTAAATTATGTGTTTTACACAATCACAGATTTGTGTCAGTGACCACGATGCTTTCGCTTAGACGAGATTGTACTCCTTTAAGTTGGACTGTAGGATTGTGTCTTTAACAGCGGCGAACACAAATCTGATGTTTTCGGTGTCTGCAATGAGAAAAACAACAACTTTGATCAACGTTTGTAATTGTTTACTAAAAATAGTTCAGGAGACCTTCTGATTCTCCAATTATGAAGTTTCGGATAATTTCTTTGCGGATTACTTTTGCATCAGAGACTACTCGATGACTGATGCATCATATGAAAAAAAAAAACAGTTAAAATGGTGTCGTCGTTATGAAATGTTTTGGAGAATCGAAGTAGGCCTTCAGAATTTGACGGACTAAATAGACGAGAGTGATATAGATGGTAGATAATGTAACTATGCACATAAGTTTTATATAATTTTGAAAATAATATAAATTATTGCCCATGAAATTAGAAACCGAATCATTTCATCGTTATTGTTAAGGGGATCGCGTATATTTGCATAAAAAAAAAAATACTATTCTAATAATATTTGTATTTACATCACGTATCCTTTGTAAGATCCGTGGTTAAACTGATTGATTAATGTGTAACGCTATGATTGCATTTAGTATTTTAACTAATACTAAGTGCAGTCTCAGCGTAAATTTACTCCAACGTTAAACCTTGTTTGTTAATAATACAGATCAGTTTTCAGTGGTTATAAGGATATCGGAAAGTTTTTAACGGAGAGGAGTTTTTCATACAAAGGAGCTCTGGGGCAATATTGTCGGTACCCTGCAGCGGGCAATGGAGTGCGTCTACTTATGGCTGCAAAGCATATCTGCGGTCATAAAGTCGCGCTGGGGACCTACCGCATAATTACATTGGCTTCGATTTGGTTACCTTTTGATTTGATCAAAATGCACTTAATAATAAATACTGTAACGTTAAATACAAATTAATCAATACATTAGGTTGATTCAAATGCACTCAACATTTAATACTGTATTGAATTTTGAGTGCATTTCGATTGAAACCAACGACAACTAAATCGAAGCCAATATACCTAGTTAGCTACATGATACATAATAGAACCAGTATGGCATCAACACTGCATGATGTCAGCGAGGAAAGGTGACTAATATATATATATATATAAAAAGCATCGATGTTTTCACTAAATAAAATTGAGAAAAGGCTTACTAAGTTAAATAGTCATCGACGCAATTTGATTACTTAACGCTCATCTCACTTGCAAACAACGATACAAACATAGATGATGGTATTTGAAAGAGACTGCATTTGAATAAATATGAATATCAAATGTTGAAGCAAGTGAATGTTTGAATATCTTGAACGTGGTTTTGGAAGGACTGGAAAGCAGAGCGAAGAGACCGCTGACGTAACTTGATGAGTGAGTGTAGGGAATAGTGTAAATTGACTGTTGGGAAAACTTTCGGCTTACAACATTAGATACAAAGTGCAACTGGGCAAAAGCTGACCTCAATAGTAATTTGCGGAAGGGGGACTTGGAATATCAGAGAGAGAATACAAAAAAAACTGCAATCGATACGCGAGATTGACGAATAATTTGTTAAGCAACTTTGTGTGTAATGAAGATTATTTTCGGTGTAATAATTAACAGGGGCATGCTGAATCAGTTTGGGCGTGTAAAGAAAATGTAAATAACGTATATTGGCACAACAATTTTGAATTTGGGAAGGAAAGACACAGCTTCCTTGGTTTTAAGCAGTAAAAATTAAAAATTGATTGTCAGAGTGATGTCAAAATTATAGTTTTCCGTAAAATTTTCGATTTAGTAATTTGGGATTTGAAATAGCAGCTGATAAAGACAAAATTTTAGGAATACTAATGTCTTAGTCGTACTTTCATAGGCAAATAACTAATATTATATATAGGTATGGTATGAACAAGTTAACAAAAGTTACTGTTTCATGCGAAATTTATGTCCATCTCCATTGCGTAATATGAAATTTACCTAAATAAAACATATATTCGTAAATATTAATAGAGAAAGAAATGCATATCACTGCTACATGGTAACTGCAATTAGCACATCAATTGAAAAAGTTACAAGTGGTACCTGATACATACCACAAAACAAAAAACGTAAACTTACCTTATGCAAATTGACTTGATTTTTTTAGACAAATTTTAAAATACACCACGTCATACATACAATCAATACACCAAGTCAACAACACGTCAGGTTATACAAATCTGTCAAATTCCTTTACTTAAACCTAAATATTTCGTAAGTATTATATGTTTAAAATGAAATGCAGAATTTTGACATATTGTGGTAACCTGATGTACAGTCGTGTGTACAAATTTGATTTCCTTTTCAACCTAGTGGCTCATCAATTAACTCATTCGAGTCTATAAAAACGAAAGTTAGTGTGTGACAAAATCTTGTGAAGCGTTTGGTTTCCAAAATATACTCTTAAGACTGTTTTAGCGTCGTTAGCACAAGTCCGCAAGAGCTCAATAGAATTAGAAAGTTTTGAAAAAACATATTTGAAAACACAAATAAAATAAAGCTCAGCTAAAATTTTAGAGATACTTTTTCATTGTATTTTCATCGTTCTTCACAGTTTCTGAGTCTCATATGAATGATTAATTCATATTTAATATTTAGACATCGATGAATTATGTCCAAGATTTTTATTATAAATATTTATTGCCGGTGCACATTTCATGCTGTTAGTAACAAGTAAGCGTCGTGACCCAGCTCTATTTTTGAATCATTCGTCTCGCGTGAGCGCTCGTTTTCTACTGATTTTTGTTCGACGTAACAAATTCGCCATATCAAATTCGCTCGACTGCAACGAGTGGTATAAACCAATCGTCGTTTAGCAGACGCTGTATGCGAGTGATACAATAAAAGTCAAAACATTAAATGAATAAATGCCGTTGAAATTAATGAATAAATGATATTTATAAACGTTTACACTTTTTTTTTGTTTCTTTGAATATGGCAAAAAATATATTCCAAGAACAAAATTCAATATTTCAAATCATGTAGACGAACGATTCAAAAATACTAAAATACGGCGTTATACGACTTAGAAGTCGAGCGTAACTTAGTTCGTATACGGCAAAGGAGATTTTAAACGAGTGAATCAAAAATAGAGCTTCAGGTGCTTCCTTAGTGGAGCGATGCGGGTAACTACGAGGCCATGTGTTTGGAGCGATTGCGAATTAGGTCGCGGCAAGCCGGTCACGGCCGATCCACTGTTTTCCTGGTATGACTGTAGTTGCTACTGACGAAATTATTAAATTTAGACCGAAAATCTACAACAGCGTTAAAAAAGACTTCACGAGACAACAATTTGAGCTTAGTTGATGATATCACATTAAACTATTCTCAACGGCTTCACATTACAAAAAAATTGACTACGATATCAAAAATATATGTTTAAAATCTTGATTTTTATAAGCATATCCTATATTCATGTAACATGCAATATTTAATTAACTAAAATTTATTTAGTAAGCACTATGGGTCACATTTTTTCATTTTTTGTTACAGTAATAAACATGCTAGTAAACAAACTATAATTGTGTATATTTAAAAAAACTACATAATGGGACGTGAAAAAAAAGGACATGCAATTTATATTAAAAATAAACGTTTAATCGTGTCAACAACATACAATTAAGTGTTTTCTTAATAACATTAATATATATCACTAAGCAAGGTTAAACTCCTTCAGGGCAGACTGCATAATGGTATCCTTTACAGCACAGAACACAAGCTTAATGTTTTCAGTGTCTTTAAAAATATCCAAGGCAGCATGCAAAAATAAAAACAAATAATATTACATGCAAAACAAAAATATCTAACAGTCGCAAATAAAGAGACATCTATACATAGTAATTTTCTAACTCAAAAAGAATTAACCTATAAACACAAAACGATCAACTCTCAAGACTTCATCACATTACCCACGTTTAGAGATAGTCAAAATGTTCTTTATTCAAAAAGCTTATTGAATATCCTTTTGGCTATCTATAACATTTAAGAGTGATACTGTTCTCGGTAGAATAATTTCCATTGTTCCCTATAGTCGTCGGCAATAACTAAAATTCAATCCCTTTTTAAAAATTGCAACATTTTTATACCTACTTTTTTAAAGAAGTGTTTTGGTTGATTGGAGGGATGAAAAGCTCATCAGCTTTTAACAATACTAACAGAAGCTCATGAATGTATACATTATCAATAGGTTGATGTTGGCATATTTTTTGACGATAATGTAATACTGTTGTATGATAAGGACTTGTAAATTGACATGCTAGTATGTTAAAATTTAGTTTGCCATTTTAGCCTCCTTTTTTATTAGAAGAGGAAGATGACTCGTTTAAAGCCCGTGACGGTGTCACCATTTCTAAGATTCTCAGTTATTTTCCTGACGTGATCGGGATTTAAATGTAAACCACGATTTATTCTACATTATCACGAGTCTGAACATGGTATCTTCGCTGTTTCAATGTTATAATACAAGTGCTACTTAAGATCGGAGGTATACTCTAGAATACATACCAAAAATTCAGTCAATCTAATAACAAATTCTAAATAATGATAAAAACTGAACGAAATAGGAAGTATAGCAAAAAGTACGCACTGTTTAGCTCCAATAAATGTAATAGTATGACAAAACTATAGACGTTATTAAATATAGCAATCAAAAATCGCAACACGCAAGCTTTCTACAATAAAAAAAGCTATTAAAACATGCAATAAACAATACAGACACAATCTCACCTGTACATCCAATCAAATAAAGGAAAACTAGAGAAATCTCAGCAAAAACATAGTAATGAAGTTTCGATATTGGCATTTGTATTAAAAAAATACTATTTTTGCATTTGGTAATATCTTTGACGGTCTTGTAAATATAATTGTATTTTGTTAATAATGTAAGTTTTGCAATTTTTTTAAATAAAACAGTTTTTGTAGCAGTGATATGTTGTTAACATTTTTCATTTAATCCAATTGCGAGCAAAACTATAATTTAAGAAATATTAAAAAATATATGAATGACATTACGATGAAAACAGTATGCTTTAGGTCTCCTTTCCATTTCTAACTAAAAAGTATAACACGTTTTCAGCTCCAACAGTCCATTAGAGCTATTAACGTTTGGTTCGCAGCATGCTGCTCATAGCAAAGACTTGAAGATTGAATCTTATACTTAGTCACTAAGGCTGAATTTACGAGATTTAAATGAATTATACGCGGGCATGGTTTATCAATCACATGTCTAAAATTACTTTTTAAAATATTTTAATTAACCTTGCTCTACTTATTTATTGTTCATCAAATTGCTGCAATATGCGAATTTATTTATATTAATGAGGAAGTAGTAAAAAAAAAAAACATTAGTTCCCGAAATCAAACTAGATGTCACTACAGTACTTTCTTAATTTCTCCATGACAACCGGTCATTCCGGTTTTCTTTCATGTATTAAAATAAAAATTATTATTCAAAACTCAATAAACTACTCATATTCTATTTGTACTTTTTCGTATTTGTATTGATATCTAAGTTTCGAACAATGCAAATTTCAGTTCTTTAATATGTTAGTTAAAAGGAACGGAAATTACTATCTTTGGTCCATTAGTTTCCTGCAAAAATCAACTTTTGCTAGAGTCGCCATCTAGCGGAGGTGCTTTTTAATGTTTTCTTTTTTTTTAAATACTTTCTCATTAAGAACTCAAAGAGTATAATCAACATTGTGCCTAAACCCATCTTCAAATTTCTTGAAAATGGGTTTAGGAGATTCTGGAACATATAAGTATAGACTGCTTTACGGTGGTCATTTTTCTGCCTACTCTGCTATAAATATGGTAAGCAGATATAATTTTGATATTCTCATTATAAGACATTACAAGACACATGCTCCAACACAAGGGAGAACGGGACTATTTAACCCACTTAATTGGTGCGTGTTAAGAAAGAATCTAAGTAATGTACTAAATTAGATAAATTGAGTTCACTACAAAGGAGATGGACTAAGCTATTTTCCTCGAAATTGATCGATTTGATGAATTCAAACTAATCATAGTCACGGCTTGATAAAATAATCTTGATAAAAATGGGGATGACGATTAATGTTTGTTTGTCTGTCCGTCAGGTAAATTATCGAAGAATATTAAATACGTATTTTTTAATTTTTTGCGTAATCAATAAATTACAGCAATGCATTGAGTGAAATTTTGCATGACGTCACGCTTTTGTAAATTTTCTACAAAATTGTGACGTAGCGAGACCCCACCCTTAAACTTTAATGCCTATTATTTAAATCATTTCTTGTTAAATTGAAGCGAAAAAAAAATACGTATATAATATATTTCAATCATCTGGCTGACAGACTAAATAGAATTTTTTTTTTTTTTACTTAGTCGTCATCCCGTAGTCATCCCTGACATAACAATCTTGTTAAAAATTCTGCAAGTCAAGGCGTCAATATATGGGCGTTTAAATAATTTAAAGGTTAAGTTAAAAGATTTGCAGACAAAGTAATGTTGACGTTTACACCCTTTGATTCGTGTTACAGTTCTCACCTGTCGCGCAAGTGAAATGCGAATAGATGATTTTCTCGGCGTCCGGGTTGAGGTCGACGAACATCCGCAGTATGAACTCGCGCGCCGTGATGGCGTCACGCTGCGGACCTGTCGACCACACAATGTGTATCTACCGCTCACACACTATACACTACTAGCTCACTCTACCCTAGCAATTACATTATAGCATGGTTGCCGAACAGAGAAAATTTCCTACAGTGACCCGACATTACATATACATATATTTCACTCGTACCGCAAACATATTGGTATGGCGCACCCACAGATGATGATCTACTTGATTCTGTTATATTAAAGTGCATCTAATGTGCCTACGATATATATCAGCAGGCACAAAGATACGAAATTATTTCTGATCGGCGACCGAGGAAGTTTATGCAAACTTTTTATTGTACATGTCTTTTATTGTGATTTTAGATATTTCTTAGTCTCGTTTACGCTGAAGCGAAATCCGAAGTATTTCTAAAAAGCTATTTACATTTTGCCAGAGGACTTTACAATAATTTCGACTTCATAGTAGGGCAGTTTTTCGGCCTTACAGAAACCGTTACGCTTACTATTTTATTTACGATTTTTCAGTAACTGCATTGGCAAATAGATTAATCTTAAAATATAACTTGTCTAGGATATAGTTTTGTGATAGAAAAAACATACACTGGTATTTGAAGTTAAATAAAAGTTTGCATACACACATATCATAATATTAAAACATATGAAGATATTTCTTTAGCTAAACACAATATCTGGCTTCCGCATAACTTAGCGCTACTACCACACGTTTAGCTTATTTTCAGTAACTTAATTCAACCTGTGGCAGTGGTGAAATGTGAGTAACATGACCGGTCCGGATCCGGGTTCTCTTTTAGATATTTCTGGAGTATATATTCTCTCGCTGGTATGGGATCACACTTTGGACCTACATGTTACAAGTTTAATTGGTGAATCGTCGCTTTTATGCAATACTGAAATAGTCTTGTAATCATTAAGGAATTTTAAATAGACCTTCAAATAAACTATACATAAAAGTTCAATAATATTCTCGTGTTTAAAAATTTTGACTACATTTAGTTTTCCAAATTGAAATCAAACTTTACTATATTAATAAAAAATATATATATCTTGAGATGGATTCATTACAGAATAAGGAAAGCCAGAGACTATTTTTGTATGAAACCTATCATTCGCGTCGATCAACTAGAATAAGCGAATAATAATTTCATGTATATATAACTTTGAGTCTGGTCTTTATCACTAAATTATAAAACAAAAATCTAAGAATTAAAATCGTTATCAACAAAAATTTATCCATAAGAATTTATGTACTGGAATATAATATTTACCATCGTATTCAGGAAAGTAGTCGACGAGGTGCGAATACATGATCTTTTCCTCGAGCAAGTCTTTTTTGTTCAAGAAGAGGATGACAGACGAGTGTTGGAACCACGGATACGTAATAATAGTCTTGAACAACGCCTTCGATTCCTCCATTCGATTCTGGAATAAATATATATTATATTGATGAGCTCCGTGGCAAACTTCTATATTGTCTCTGAGTGTTGTGTTACTATTACTGTTTCCATAATACAATTACATAATGTTTTAGCTATTTATTTGAGGTTTGAGCAATGTATGTGATGCTGTCTAATACTGTGCATAGAATAACTGGATTTAGGAAAAACTAATTTAAATTAGATACAAAATACCAAAGTTTATATTAAATCAAATCAAATATAACTTTCAGCGCTTTTACAATTTAGCCAAGACAACAAAGTATTTGATCCTAAAATAATATAATTAGAAAATAAGTGTAACTCACCTCATTTTCTGATTCGAATAAAATTTGATCATATTCACTAAGAGCTACTAAGAATATGATTGATGTGACATTTTCGAAACAGTGAATCCACTTCCTTCGCTCGGATCTTTGGCCCCCGACGTCTACCATTCTGTTTAAAAACATATACATAAATCGTAAATGGATAAAATATAGTATGTATTAATATAATATTTAGTCAACCTATATAATGTTTATATAATATGTCATAAAGACATAATATAATAATTTAAAAGAACAAAAACATATAGGTCATAGGTATTTTAGAATAAAAAAAATAAAAAATATTTTAAGGAGTTATTTATAGTATAATGAAGTAATTTTAATTTATTTTAGGGGCCGTCCCTTAATCACGTGAGGCTCTAAAAGGGGAGAGGGTACGTAAAAAATCACGAAATATCACAAGGGGAAGGGGGCGTAGTAATACAGTTTACTAAACAATTTTACAAATAACAGAGTTGCTAGTCAATATATTTAAAATTATGTAAACACATAAAATCTACGTGTAAAATTAACAAAAATGCTTTAAAAGGTTATCAAGTCAGATCAAAAGCACAGTTATTAGTAGAAGCCCAGTACATTTAGTTAAAAAAATCTCCCACATGCCCTAAAACAACTAATCTGAGGCCATATTAATAATTACTTTTTGTATCATTTCAAACATCATCTATTAAAAATTATAATTATATTTGTTTTGTCAATGTGATTATAAATTCTGATAATTGATTCATCCTCATCATCATTTAATAATAGGATATATTCATTCCACACGATTCATATTTACAAAAGTGATATCAGAGCAGAAATAAAGTATATTAGAATTGTGACATTGTCGTACTAAAACAATTTTGACAGTACATGCAACAAAATAAAGCATATAAAATAGTGTTTTATTAAATTATGGTAGAGGCCTTTTCTTGCTACGATATATTGTCATTATGCCTCTAAACCACATATTGTAATGACTCAAGTTTAGAGTTTATAATGCAAAGCTTAAATGACATGAAAATATTTGCTTGTTAATAGGAATTTTAAAATATACAAAAAAACTGTAAATATTTATAGCAGTTGCTGTGGATATTTTAATTTTAGTATATAAATATGAATTATAATGCAGTTTAGTTTAAGTTCTACGTAAAGCACCATTAGTCTAAGCGTAGATTAGTAATAGGTTTGCTGCTGTAGAGCTTAAGTAACTTCACTCAAGGTCGAACTCAAAATTTTGTTATTTCGAGCTCCGCCAGTCTTCGGAAGACACGTTAAGCTGCTGGTATTGGCTGCATCTGTAGTCGTTAACACCCACTATTCCTATCTGGAGCGTTGTGGGCTATGGACTGAGTAGGGACATTGACAAGATGATAATAAAAGCACCATTTAAGTTAATGACGAGACAATAACTGCCGTAAGAACTTGTATTAGAAATAAGAGTTCTCTCTTATTAAGAATACAACGTCGTATATTTCTGTCATTCAAAAATAGACTTTATTTGTATCGAATGTAGCACTACATGTTCTAACGTCTCTTGGTGTGGCAGTAAGCAAATTAAATTTGAAAAGCATTCTCAAGTGCAATATTAGATCGATATCTCAGTTCACATTTAGCATTCCTATAGGTAGCTAAGGGCATTCTACGTCTAATGTGTCATTACAATAAAGATTAAATTGACATCTTAATATTTCGCTGTTATAGTGATAAGTTTTTGATAATATAAATTATAGGTATATTTATTTTTTAAGATATACCAAGCTTAGGAATAGAATACAAGCCATCTAAGTAAATTATAACAAAAACCTTACTGATATTCCCAGATTTTATTAGTTCAGGTCCAAAATCTAGCTTTTCTATGGGTACAACGCAGAGCAATATTGCACATTTTACCATACCTAAATATGATCCCATCAAGATCGAAGGGATACTCAAGAATGCCGGTAGTTGGCTGTCGAGCTCTCAAAATATCCTGCTCAGTAGGCAAATAGTCGTCTTTTTCGATCCTTGCCAGATCGCTTAAATAGCTGAAATATCATGCATTATCCAATAAAGCGTTGTCATGCATTTTAAGAACTTACTGTTTATGGACAAAACATTAAAAACAGTAAATTCCTAAGGAGAAACATAAAGAGAAATGAAAACAGAACAATAGTCCCCGAATTACACATAACATGCGTTTAGACGAAGCATGCGTTTTGTACAAGAGATGTTTTTACCTAAATCGTATCTCTTCCAAGTCAAATGGATACTCTATAATACCCGTTGTGGGGACTCTGACGCGTAGGATGTCCTGTTCGGTTGGTAAGTAATTTGGAGCAGCCACGCGGTCAATCTCCTGCAAGTAGCTATAGAAAACGATACTCTCAATTTCAAATGCAATATGTCTGCCGAGTATAAATTATATAACTTGAATATGCATATTCTCAAGGCAGAACAGGTTAGACCATCATCCAACCACTATTTGGATATATTGCGCGTAAATTTTACTTACAAAAACCACAGTTGTATTTAATTTAATTTAAAGACAAAAAAACTGAGGTGTTGTTTACAGGTAAAAAAGAATTTATTTTCAGAAAAATTTGGTTTTTTAGTTACATCATCTTTGTTGGTGTTATATTTTACACAATTCGGTCCAAATTTTATATAACATTTTTCTATATCAAGGTTAAGTAATAGCAAGCAAGAAATATTGAAATAAAACGACATCCCCGATTGATATTTTTGTAATTGACATCATTCCGAATTACTGTAATTCAAGGAAACTTCATATCGAGTACAATGAGCAAGGATGAGTATTTTAAATAGGGAATTTCGAAACTGTCCGATAACAAATCTGCCGATTATTTGTAACACATACACACTGTAATAATAATAATGACTAATATATATGTGACTAATGCTGTAACTCGTAAGGACATAACTCCATCTAAATACTTGACGATTCCCCAAAGACATCGTAAAGCAATCTACTTAGGGTATCGATTCCCAAGCCATAGTGAATGTCATTATTTATATTAGGATAAATATCTATTGTAGTAAGTATTATAGTATTCATATTCACATATATTATATGAATAGATCGAAACCTATGAGGTAATCACGACAATCATCGTTCTGATTGTGAAGTCGCATAGGTTTATAAACTTATGTACTGTATTAAAATAACATTACACACATACTTTACGCCAATTAATAATATAATCTCAAGTATTTTTTTTTTCCTTAAAAATTGACTTTGTTAAGATTCTTGTGCAGTCAACAGTGCGTAAGGTTTTATAAAACCTATCTAATTTGTACAACTGATATAGCAAATTTAACACATTGAGGATAGACTTCATAATTAATTGCAGGAAAACAAACTTTGGTAGCCTGAAGTGTTGCGGAGTTTACTAGTTTTTTAAAATTAAGTAACATATGTGAGTGACCTATAGAAAAAGAGCCTATTTCAAATAAGGCCATGTATTAAAATTTTAATTTAATTGGCCTTTAGGAGACCTTTCTGCAGAAAATAATGATTGCGAAATCAAAGGGTTGTCACGATATCATCTAAAGAAGTAAGATCTAAAATGAATAGATTGTGTTTTGATTCAATTACAGTTTATAGTTTTTTTTTTAATAAATGAATGCTGTATCACTTACTATTTGGCTGAATCGGTGAGCTGGTATTCTCGCCTGCGGTCGTAACATTCTTGGATGCCGGAGTCGGCCCATAGAGCTTTGATCGCCTCCACGTACGGGCTCTCGAAGGTTGTAACACTTTCAAAGTCGATCGATGATATCAACTCCGCCTGTTCCTGAAATTGTTCATAAAGATATGCATTTCAAGTGTCTCTACAGTTTTGGATAATTAAAAAATATGAATAATGATTATATTTTAGTTAATCAACTATTTTAAGTGGAAATTACTAATTATTTATAAGCGTTTTCTCAAATGTTTTAAAGGGTCGGTGCAAATCCGTCAAGAGTATCACGGACATATGTCTTAGTAAGCGACGTATCTTCCGTCAAATAGAAGTAGAATAGAAATATCTTTAAGTCATTTGCTAGTTGACTATTGCAAAGACATTTTAAAATAAGAATATGTACAGGAAAAAAATATAGTCAGCAGAAAATTTTATATTGTGCTTGTTACGGTGAATCATATTCACGTATACATCGGAGATAAAAATAAAAACGATGTCAATAAAACGTTGCTACTTATGATAAACCTATGGTACACTGAGATCGATGACCGTTTTTGTCAATATGCAGTTTGTTAATTTCTATTAAAATAAAAAAATCGAACTATCAATATTAAAATGTTAGTCTACTGATAGTAAAATCAAATTGCATAGATAACAACTTCTTCCTGTATATTGAAAGGGAAAATTACTTACTTCATTGGACGGAATTCCGTATTGTATTTTGAGTAAATCCATAGCGCGTATCATACTTTGCATCGCCATGAAGATGTTTTGGTATACGAGTTTGATGAAGCCGCGCTTGTCATCGTCGCTGTAGCCGGAGCCGTGGATGATTCTCATCTGCTTGATAAATGTTGACTTGCCCGACTCGCCCGTACCTGGTGAAGATAATTGATCACTCGTTAAGCAATTATATAAACATATTAGCTAGGTGACCCGGCAAACGCTGTTTTAAATAAATTTGGGGTGGACAAAAAATAGATAACATTCTATTCTCAGACCTAATAAATGTACATATTATATTTTATGAAATCAGTCCATTTCGGAGGAGTATGTTAATTGAAACTATGACACGAGAATTTTTCCAAAGGGTCAGGATATTCCATAGTATGTTATAGAGTAGGCGCAAAAACGAGCAATAAGACAGATAACATAATTAATTGAGCGTTGATAGAAACCGATAACCATGAATGAAAACCTCAATGAAACTTGTTGCCTTAGGCACACTGTAACGACACCCATAAAAAAAATTACAACAAAATAAAAGTTTTTCTTATGAAACTCTTTAGGTAGGTACTGTTTATCTGAGAATTTTTTACTTTTGGATATCGCGGATAGGGATTCATTCACAAAAATAACTTAATTAATTATTTTTAATTACTGCAACAAATGCCCAGCTGCCTCCAAAATACGAACGTCCTAGTCTCCTAGTCTGCCCATATGAACGGGCAGGCCCTGCAGATAATGGTTTAAACCGGGTACTAAAATAAGGCAGTATAGGTTGCTGACACCTCACGTACAACAATAGTCAGTACTACGCGGAAACGATACATAGTTCTACGGTAAGCGGTACCTACGTATCGTTATCTGTCACACTCACACGATACTTTGTGTTATTTTCAGTTTTTTCTCTGGCCCTAGAAACAGACTACAATATTGAACTTATAATATGCTGTTTTCCCGCGACTTCGCACGCGTAAATTAAAGCCTATGTCAACCCCGTATGAAGTAGTTTCAGAACCTATTCGATCAAACGATAATCAAACAAATTTTTCCCCCATTATAATATTAGTATAGACATGCAACACAATATTTCAAGTGTCTCGTTTTTGATACGTTATATATCATCAAAACTGTCTGGTTGCATGCAATGGAATAGACTGAAAAGTAAACGTATGAATATAAAAATTACAGTAAGAATGTTTATTTTTTTAATTAACATATACTGATCGAAACACAATAATCGGTACCTATGAAAGAGGCGATGTAACTAACCCTAGATCGCGAATTGGTAAGCGACTTTAGAAATCACGGTTAATATAACTACACAGAGAATACCGTTGAATATCTAGACATAATTGAACGAAAGACAATATAGGTATCTAATGCAATGTTAAATCTATTTTTAGTTTTAAATCTATCCACTGATGGCGTCATCGACAAACTTCGGTGGCATATACATATCTCGAAAACGAGACATTAGAAAAGTTTTTTTTTTAATTATTCATGTTTCAATTAGTTCAGATAACTTGTTTAACTGGTCGTGACTTCCAATCGATATATTTGAAAAAAAAAAATAATGAAAATTTTTGTACTAACGAGTATTTCTGGGTCATCATCAGCCTCTTAATGTCCTCACTGCTTGAGCACAGGCCTTCTCTATGTATCAAATTAAATAGCGGGAACAGGTCGTTATTACAAGTAGGCCAAGTGCGGATTGTCGGGTGAGATTGATTGCTGATGCAGCCGGGGCTACCGTTTAAAGTTCTTCGCGGAGAAGACCGGAGGAGTTCGCGATAGTAAATTTTTGGTAACCTATCCTGTGATAGGCCTTTCCGAAAGTTACTTAACTCACACATCACGGGCCTGTCGCGCTAACCACTGCGCCATTGAGGCTCGTCCTGTCCCGGGTAGGTTTTAAATTATTAATCGAATTAATTTATTCTGTATAAGATCAAAATAAGTGTTATTATGTATAACGTCTTTTACGGCATTTAATATTTGTGGAACCTAGTTAATCATTAAATTAAGATGATATTTAAAAAAATATTCAAAATCGTCTACCCGCACACAAAACTCTCTATTACTATTAGGTATATAGATTAGATGAACCTACATCCGTAAACTCGTGGTGATAAGAAAAAAACTTAACCGATTATTTTTTATATTAGTTATTGTATAAATTTTAAATATAAATACATCTTACGGCTTGTATGAATTCTCTCAGATCACAATATTTGACCACGTGGTCGAAGGAGCCCTCTAACCCCCTATTTAGTTTAGCGACATCGTGAAACGTCTGTCAAAAATAAATCTTTGAGAAAATTCAGCGTCAATAAAGGCATAGAACCAAAATTGGTGTTGATCCTAAATAGACAGTTTCTTGTGTTTTATTCCCATTAAAAGGACATCCCAGATATTTCTGTCCCTTGCTCTTGCTAGTTTGTTTTTGTGATCATGTCCTCGTATAACATGGTCTGTGGTAAGTAGGGCCGTATATGCTTATTGAGGTGATTCATCACCAAATTAAACAGTAAAGGGCATTACTCAGATCTTTGATAGGCGTAAACATTGAAATCGAATTCTCTACTCAGACATTCTAGGCTACGAACTCTTGTCATTGTCATTGTGACATGTTTCTGACCTTTTCTTGGTAGTTTTCGGATATATTTTGAGGACTAAGAGCCTCCTATACTAATTAACGAGGTCGAGGTCAATGTAGGCAAATTAGATGATTGTTAGTATTGATATTATCTAAATTCTAAGGACGGTAAAATATAAAATAACAATTGTTGTATATGTACACATTTTACTTAATTAATAATTATGCCATGAGATATAAGATATCTAATGATATAAGAGATCTAATGATAAATGCCTTATAATTACCCAGTTTAAAAGTAAAAGAATGGCAACGCGGGTTTTTTAAACATGCAGAGGAATCGGAATATTTAACCTAACCTTGGGCTTACTTTCAAGCAGAATTGCTATTCTGAAACTCTGTTTAGTTTATAATGCTATGTTATGCATAAGGCTAGTGTATAGATTAGTTTATATTTTATTTATAAAATGTTCTCTGTTCTATATATCAATTGATTTTATTTGGATTGTTTCAGCAATACATTTGAACTATTTTTATAAGCGTACGGGTCTTGACATTTGCTCGACCGCCGACTAGACGGTCGAGTAGACTGGGGCTCTCTTAGCCTCCAGAGCAGCCGAAGCTGCAAAATCTGTCACTTGATAACTAGCAAAAAAATACTTGTGGCCTCCAGACCCAAATCCAGGGCACTCAGGACCTAAAATAATGTAGCAACTCTTTGAATATTTCCACTACGGTGAAACAGGAAATCAACTTCAAAACATTGCATTAATATTCCCCATTATTGGCACTTGAGAACTATACGTGTTTTAGCATCAAGTGTGGCATAGAAAAGGGATTATTTAATATAACCTGTATTCGTTCTAGATCCGATCTTTCGCTATCGACCTCAGTAGATTTGACAAATAAAAGTAAAGGTTCAATATTGATTATATTTTAAGTTTTAGATTTTGATTGTATCTATAAAGATAGAGACGAAGAATAAGCACAAACAGTAGTGAACGATTTTTTCTTCTCATGGTTACATCATAAGTCGTTAACCTTTTACCATTTGCATAATTATTGTTATAATAACGTTGACTAAATGTCACCGTGTTAGGAATTCCGCACCTCAAAAAAAAAAAAAAAGCGGAATCCTTGTTTTATAGGATCACTCGATTATTTAATGATCTCCGTTACGGAATGGGTCGCACGCTGGTTTCAAGGTGTCACAATGTCTAAATGTCCCAGGTTCGATTCCCAGTCGGGTTAATGTATAAAATGGACTTTACTATAATCTTGGGTCTGGGTGTAGTGGCACCTTCATTGTCTCAAACACTCCATAATATGATCTTTAGATAGATCCTCATCTTGGAATCTGAGCAATGTATATGATGTTGTCTAATCAAAAAGATCTTTATCTACAGATTACAGGAAAACCAATCAGAAATCTAAGGTTTTTAAAATTTATGATTGCTGCTCGGAGTTCAGAGTCGGTGTTCGACTCACGCTTATCAGGTTTTTAATATTTGACCTTGAAATACAAAAAGAAAAAAAGATGGCATTAATAATGCCTGCTAATAATATCAATAATCTAACTGATACTTGTGGAAAATACCTTTATACCGCCAACCAGAGCTATTTTTTTTTTAAGTTGTACTTTGACCAAATGCGATTCGGACCTTAAAATGACAGTTTGCTACAATACCCTATGCGATTCGGACCCAATAACGGTTCGTTTCATCTAATACGAAAAAATATTCTTTGGTCATAAGGTAAAAAGTGCACATTAACAATTATATTTAGATTTATTTCCAAATTTAAGAGTGAAGCTTTTACAAAGCTCTGATTTTCATGCATTAATTTTAAAGGACCTTCACTCTTATCGCGTTTTGACAGGTGTTATAACCTTAAAACATTATTTGCAAATTACGAATTTCCCTTCAATCAATGTATGGAAAGCGGACATGATTCTTTCAATAACTGGCTCGATAAAAAACAGCAAAGTAGCTCTGAATAGATTTTTGGATTGGTTTTTTTAAGATTAACAATTTCAACTTGACTATTAAAAATAGATTTTGACGTAATCTAAAATTACCAAAAGATTTTTTATAACTCAATTTGATTTTTTACCTGTGATTAAAAATGTATGAAATAACGTAAAAACATTAGGTTATAAATATATTAACGCATTGAATTCTTCTATGCTGTGGTCCAGTATGTTAGTCACATTATAATATACAACTGGCGCCATCTAGTGATGTATATAGACACTAAGTAATAAATTTAACTGAATAAAATATTGGATATCAAAAATCATGGTTTATCTTTTAATTTATGTATATTGAAGAACCCAGAATAAAATAGAAGCAAAATATAATATATCACTAAAAACTTCATATGTTTAAGAAGAAGCCTTAACCATAATCACCACAATTGCAAGTTGAATGTGAACAAAGAAAATAAAACCAAATATACTGCAAACTATAAAGAGAAAAGTGTAGCATAATACGGAAGAAATAAATATATATATGGACCAGTTAAATGGTTAAGACAGACATTCAATAGGGCCACTAGCCCTATTATTGGATAGCGCTATTAAATTGCACAGCTTAACGTTGATCAGCTGAGTGGCCGAACATATACTTATAATCTGTGGCTGTATATTTTTTTTATTGAAAATATTGACTAAAATTAATGTTTAGATACACAAATTGCTTGCAAAATATGACCCACACTCACAATTAACTAAAACGGTATTTATATTGCCTTATTGATAAATTAGTCTTTGTCACATAGCATGGGTGATGTTTGGGATATGAAATATTAGGGATGTGGTAATCAAAAATATATATATATATATACGAAATCTCACTATATTGAGTTCATTTCTAATAGAGATAATTAACAATGTATTAAACAGGATTTAAGAAAAGTATTTATTCATTAATAAGATGAATCCGAGTCAGAAAAATACAGAATTTTAGTTTAGTGAAGTTAAATTGTTTCAACACAATGATTAAAAAAATTATCAAATGATTACTAAATACTAAATAAAAGTCTCCAATGTCCATTACAAGTATTTAAGTAAATATGACTATTAAAAAAATAATTTGTGTTTTAACATGCGAATTTAAATAAATATCTAATACATACACACAGTTTTTGATTTACCCATACTATGTGAAACGGGCTTTAAACATTACAAAAGTAGGCAAGTGTTATCTGTCATATAAAATGAGCTAAAAACTGAACAGTATTGTGTGGTATATACTAACACTATGATTAAAATAATTCCAATTTATTTGATCTTAGATAGACTTCAACACACTAGCGAAAGGAAAGTCAGCCAATGAAGCTATTGAAATAAATTTGCTTTTAAAGAGCATTGAAGAAATAATAGAAATATTAAGATAAAATTATAGTAATACATATTATATATTTTTTTACTGTTATACCAACCAGTTCACTTTTTATTTATATCCAAACAACAACATATTAAGTTATCACCCTGTCAAATTTCAGCAATTGAATATAACCCTTAACCCATTAAGGTTTAAAATCTACTGGAGAAAATTAATAGTTTTGTAAAACTTAACTTACTGTTCACTGTTCATATTTCATGATTAATTAAGCAACATTGTAGTTATTGAAGAAAATAGAAATACATATTTTACATAAGAATGCCATAAATAGTATCTCCACTTAATAAATAAGATTATGAGTTAATTCAATCTGTCTCATTTAAGTTTTGATTTTTTTTATAACCACCCACCAAATTGTGTTAATCTTATAAAGATAACCATATAAAAAAATCAGCTCTTCATACTTTTAACTATCTACATTTTTAGTGTTTACACAATTCCAACAATGTCAATTTGTCAATATTGTAAATATATTGTTTTATTAGAATTATTATTAATAATCTAACCTAAGCTTATAAATACAGATTTTTAACAATTTAAAGTTGAAAATTGCAAATAATGCAATTTATAGTAACTTTATGTTTCAATAATTCAATGTTATTTTAATGTAATGTTGTTGCTAATATAACCAGTTAAAAAGCTGTTAAATTGTATGCTAACCATACAAATAACTTGGGTTAAACCCTGCTATTTAAACCTCACTCCTAAACTTTGATTAGTTAAGTAATTGAGTATTTAAAATTTTCATGAGTTCAGCTAGTCAACTGGTCAAAAGTCAAATTTGCTGAGCTAATCATTTAAAAAAATAGATAAGTATTAAATATCATTGCTTTTGTTTGTTGCATGTAGATAGAAGATATAATGCATAGTGTAGCTTGCAGAATATAAAACTGACAAATATTACCTATATGATTTATTATTTGCTTGGCAAATCTTCTGTCAGATTCACAGAGATCCGGTAAGTAATTGTATTTAAAAATATACTTTGTGGAAATACATAAAGTATTTATGTTAACCAGTTCTTTGTGAAGTACATAATATATGAAATAAGATTTTTTTTACAAAACAATATGAATGATGTGTAAAAACACATTCATATCAGAATTTTAATTGGTGCCTACTTTATATGATTTATTAAAATACATCCATTTACCTATTATACTAGCTGTTTCAAACGGGATTTATTAAAAAAGGGCACTGAAATCTTACAAAAGGTGCCTATATCTTTACATTAGGTCATTATTTTTAATGAAGTATAAATCATGAACTAACCACTGATAAGCACAACTTAAAACATATATTGCCTATAGATAGGAAAATAATAAATGTTTTAACATAAAAGGGGGCGAGTATAAAATTCTATTTTAGTATTGTTTGGAGGTTATATTTTTTTTTTCATTCATATTAATCTTGACAAGTACTTGTTGTGTCAATAATATAGATTCTTTCATGCTTAAACAAACAAAAAAGACTCACCAAGCAGAAGAAGTTTGAGTTCTCTCCTGGCATCTCGTTTGTCCTTCCGGAGTTGCCGCTCTATTTCTTGGTTGATTCGTTTCTGTTCTTTGGCTTCTTCTGACATGCAGCACTCCATGATTCCTCAGAGCGGAGGGCCGCAATCCGTCCTCACGCGCGGAGCCCTGTCCCTTCGGCAGGCCTTTCAACCGAGGCACACCACTCCTAGAAATCACATTATTATTACACTAATATCTCACGATAAGTCCATCACGATTATCACCATATCACACTTTATCACATACCAACGCGACGACGCGCGAACAATCATCCGAACTAAGGACTATTTTATACTAAAACCGACAATCCGGCGGTCACTGGGTGTGGTGACTTATGATCGGTCATATACATAAACGCTTCTGTCAACTGCCGACATAAACACTTCGGAATCCGTTTATATACGACCGTGGAACCTTGCGAAGCGATCGTATAATCTCGTTAATGTAACTAGATTCAAGAAACCTATGGCTATTCACCACACGTGTGTATTAATAAGATTAAAACTGTAAGCAAACAGCGGATTGATGATACCTAGGCAATCTACTGATAACTAGAACGGCCTATGTCTAGGTTACGATGTGACTCGCCAAGGCTTATTAGAACACAGAAGACGCACCGTTGTTATATTTTATAGCTTTTTACGTACCCAAATGTATATCCATAGGGCACGATCAACTGTTCCACTTCAATTTATTGCACTAACCACGATTAATCACTCAAGTCATACAACGTCCGCCTCTCAATATGGCGCTGGGAAATTTCGGGCGATGGATGTTCTGCGCGTGCGTTGTACGAGTATTAGCAAATAAAAAAATAGTTAAATAGAAATTAATACAGGTTTGTGAGAACTAATAATAATTTGAAAAATATAATTAAATCTATTAATTCAAAATGAAATAAGAAAATTAGTGATAACTCCCATGTTCATCAAATTTAATGACAGTCACACCGAACTGTCAAAATCAATCATATTCTTCTGTCACACTTGATTGCTATTATTATGCGTTTAAAGCAATAGCTCGATGGTATTGTACGGTCGGAATAGTTGTTCAAATCATCTCATAATATGTAATTAAAATGTTATCAATAAAATGGAATTTAATTTTATAAAAGACATCGTTGAAGAACCTTGGAACTATTTTAACTATATACCTTGGCATCCACATAGAAAAAAAACAAAAATAAATTGTCTACGGTATGAAATTTGAATACCAATAGAGTAACTACAGGTTAAATCTTAAATTGAAATATCGATTTTCCTCAGATTTGTACTATTGCATTTATTAATCGATTGTAGCATCGAATTGAATGAATATTTAGAAACTATATTGAGTTATCCAATAATTTCTTATCGGAGACCTTTAGTGTCAAGATAATCAATTATCGTAAGTATGAACATAACGTAACGATTTATGGCAGTAACGAATGATGAAGCCATACTGAGCCTACCACGACCGCACAATGTCGCGTGTTTGTCCTAGACACGAGGCTTTACCTTGAAAAAGATCAATAAGTATAAAGTTTGTAATCTACCTATTAACTTAGTTGTATCATAATGTTTTTATTAAGTAGTCAGTCACATTGTCATTCACTAATAACCGTTTTAGTTTAGCTGATAATATTGAATGCTTAGTTTTTATTTAGTTCACTATTTTTTTTATTATCAAATATAAAACTGATAACATTATGAATGATTCAATTGTTTTACAAAATGTACACGTTTTTTACTTTGAAAACTGCGGGGTATGGTCCATGTACTCAAGCTGAAGTGACTTCTTGTTTATTTTTACATCTTGTTTATTTTTATTTAAAAAAAAACCGAAGAGTTTCTTATTTTAAAGTTGAGCTGTAGAGTGATCGCCTGTCTCCTTTAGCTATAACTTTAGCCATAGGATATGACATCTTAGCACTATAAGGGCTCTGTTTCGTTTCATTTTACTTCTTTGACATGTACTTATTAATAACAAAAAACAAACGACAAAGAATGATGAATATGGATTTGACAGCAGTATTTCCAAATTAATCGTATGTCGCAAATCTATCTACCAAAATAAATGTCAAGATAGCGAAATTAAACGACGGGAAGGCGATTGCACGCATCCCTAATTATATCATAATTATAATAAATCTCATTCTAAAAAAACTCGTTTCGATTGTTCTGTCTGATAGTAGGTGACGAGCATTTTAAATAATACCTAGTCAATATAATGTCCTCTGTACTTTTATCATGTTACCCTCTCACATAGGGCATTTTTCATTCAGCATGAGCATATTAAGTCCCCGATTAATCACTTGATTTGTTAAAACCTACGAATGAGAGAGGAAACAAGCGACATCTAATAGGCTATTAGAAAAATATTATGAAAATTCGTTTTGCTATTAGACACTAGATGCCGCAGCTATTGCTATTTTTTTTTTAATACACAGAATACTATTAAATGGTATTTGCCACATTCTTGTAGGACCAAGTATCATAATACATGGGAGCTTGGGAGGTTATAGGTAACGCATTTCCTCGATTAAAAAAAAAGGGACGCAGGTTCCTATGTGGTTCTTGATAGCTCAATCAAACACTTAAATCCTGTCTCGTTCGTCCTTTGCGACGTTGTCTCATTAATAATAAAACGGTAGTTTCTTACTGGTTCAAAAATCTAAAAAAAATCTACAACTCACAGCGTAAGGTAGTAACTTATTCATTGTCGAAAATCATTCGGTTATCCCGATTAGCTAAGTTTTTACTTTGTTCTTTTGTACGTTTTAGGATCTGCATAGTAGGTACAATGCTTTTTGACTAGTTCAATGAGTGTTTTAATAGTTGCCTTAAAAGTTGTTTTTGTGCTTTTGACCGAGATTCGTTTGCTTAAGCACAAAAAAATTTTTTTTTATTGCGTGAATATTACATATAGCTCGGCGCAGATGGCAGCACTAGTACATATAATAAAAAGCAAACTTCGAACGTATGTCTTTTGGAAATGAATGTTTCCCTCCAAGTTCCCTTTCTTCTGTTATACCTCGTGTGTTCATAAGTTTTGAGACGAACTTATTACTGAAAAAATAAAATAAAATGTTATTTATTTTTTTACCGATTTTGAATTGAGTATGTTAACTTTTAGTTTATTTGTATCGCAAATTCATTTGTTTATATATTTTCATGATGGAGGGAACGAAACAATTACGTGCAACTGTTATCTCGCTATTTAAGGCGGAAAAAAACCGCTGAAGATTTCTAGTTTTCCTGTAAGCCGTAACTTCGTCTATTAGGGGAGACCGAGGAGAGTTGAAACAATTTTGACATTTTATTTCATACATCAAATAGTATACACAGAAATCGTATGATATTAGTACCAATCGAAAGGTAATTATTTACACCTGCGAATGACTAACGTAAAGTAGTTGTAAACGTTAAATATTGTGGTAGACATCGACTTAACCGTAACAAGTCAATTTGTTTCAACTCTCCTCATACCGAGGTAAGATGAAACAGGGGACGAGGAGAGTTGAAACATATGATTTTTGAGAAGCATTAAGGGATGTAAAATAAAAATGATTATATAATTTCAAGGTATTTATTCAAATAAAACCTTTTTTAGTATGTAACAACTTTTTATATAAGGATTTTGTACTGATGTATCAGTCAAGTATGTAACTACAGGTCTCATAAATATATTTAACTCTTAAATGAGTTAATTACACCTTCAACTTAAATAAAAAGGATCTTCCTCAATCTTTAACATACAATAGTTATTAATTTTCAGTAATTTCTTAAGTATTACAATGATGCGGTCTGGTTTCTGAACTGTTGTGATACCTGATTCATCAACTTTTCATATATCCTTCCCTTGTAACCCTGTAGTATAATTTTGGAAAAAAAGTTGTTCATTTGATCTGCTAAACTTGTAGCTCGAGCGATAGTTGTAGGTTGAGGTAGTCTAAGTGAAAGAACAGGATGCCGTTTCATAAATGATCGAAGCCAAACCTTTCCAGCCATTTCATGAGCAGTCCAAGCAGAAGGGATTTTTTTATTATATTTTTTATATATTATATTTACAGCCAATTTATAGGCAAAAGTTCTGGCTTCTTTAGTTCTTAGGCGAAAGTTAACAGCAGCGCAGTGTAAAGATTGCCTTCTCTGAAGCTGTAAAAACAGTCTTTTCAGGATATCTAACTCTAGGAGCAGTTGCCGTTTCGTTGCCTTCATAAGCATTTTTTTTAATGTACCTGCAGAGATGTATGGTTCAGAATAAGTTGGCATTCTAAAACAAAATAAATAAATTAAGTTATCATAGACATTAATTAGGAGCGTTACTACCCGTCACGCTGTGTGCAACATTCGTGAAGTGTATGCTGTGGCATTTGTCTGCTTTGCAGCCATTTTCCAATATCTCATGTTATCTATGTAGAGGAGACCGAGGAGAGTTGAAACAGTCTGTTTCAAATCTCCTCAGTAGAAATAAAACCTCTCATTTTTATTTAATCTACAATGAAGAAGCAAATACATAGAAATCAACTGTACCAAACATATACAATGAATCTTTAGTTAAAGAGCTTTCGAAACACATATAACTTAATCCAAAATACAAAACCTATATAAAAATATAAACATCATAACAAAGCCTAAAAAACTTACTTTTCACGATTTTTGACATACGGCTGACAGAACTCCACAACCGCGCGAGGCACACCTCCGACGTGAACTCCCACCACGACGGGCGGAGAAAAATAGTTATAAGGCGAAGTTGCTAACCCGCTAACGGTTTTAAGTTCCGAGAAATTGGTACTGTTTCAACTCACCTTTGTTTCAAATCTCCTCGGTCTCCACTACAACGGTAGAAAGAGATAAGTTCTCTGCAAGATCGACAAAGAAGTGGTCGGCTACGCTCTGTGACTGTGCCTGTGAATGTCAAAATCATCCGAGTGCGACCGAAATCCATGTCGCACTCAGAAGAAACTCACTCTGCAGACTAATATTTCGCGCGTTTCAATGAACATAATTCTGCAATATAATGTTAAGATAAAGGCCTATAGCAGAGGTGGCCAGCTTGTTTAGACCCAAGATCGACTTACTTTTCACTGACGACACCCAGTACGATCTAGCAATTACTTTACTTCTTAAAATCTATGAAACAGCATACATAGTTCGTACACAATTATGTAGCATTTTGATTTTATTTATATTTTTTGAATTGCCACGATCGACTGGTTGGCCACCCATGGTCTATAACCATAGAAAAGTTCACTTTTTAAATGATCGTCTTCGTAAGTATTTTAATTTGGCGTTATTTCCGTTGTCATACATATATGTACACTAAGAGAAATTTAATTCACTAAACTCCTTTATATATCTCTATACTTTATTAAAAACATTACTGATTGTCTGTATATGGACGATATGAGAAAAAATATTAGAGGGGGCATTTATAAATGTAAATAGAATACAAAACAATATATTTTAAAACGTATGTCTGTTTGTCAGTGCATTTGTGCACGCTAATTTCAGAAACGTACGTCATAACTACTGATATGCCGATTTTTCTCCTTTTTTAAAAACTGGCACCTATTTTATCAGTAACAAGCCGATTGGAGCGACGTGCAATTTTTACATCAAAATTTCCAAATTGAAAACGCTTAAGCATCAAGTGGTTTACAGTGAACGCCATACAAGGTTTTCTATAGTAATATTTTATCAGGTTAGGTGCACGTCAGGTTGATAGGATGGTACGTAAAATTAATTGTTCGAATGTCTCGAAAAACTGTAAAAATGTTAAACGGAATTCTCAAGAAGATGGTAAAGCGAGATTAAGAGAATTTCAGGCCAGTTTACGTCTTACAGCAATTTTGACTTAGTTGAATCTAGACTCAGTGTATACTGTTCTCGAATAATGACTTCTTGGATTTAAGAAATCAGTGAACATCGTGTTAAATCAGTCATGTGAAGACAACTTGAGTAATATATTTTTCCTCTTATTACTCTTTATTTTATTATTTATTTTTTAACATACAAATCGTTTGACTGTAACGTTCGTATTTTAAGTTTTCACCGGAAGTATAGGTTTAGTCTGAGGGTCGGCGCATACCTAACGGAAGCTCAGTCAAACATTTTTCCGATGGGAAATGCATTACTACATACCCTTGCAACTCCTCAATCCAAATATCCAAAAATAAATTATATTATTAAAATAAGACAGACTATAACCCAGATAACGACACAAATTTAAAATGATGAATAAAATATATAATCTTTCTGTATTGAATAACACTTTTTGGAGTTGTTTTATTTGATCATATGATAATTTTAAAATACTTTTTCTAAAACATTGAAGTTTTATTTTAATGTGAAAATGAAATTAGAAAGAGATATATGCTATTATCACAAGGTCCGCCGTTGATAAACTGGAGAAAGTCTGGTGTAATCGCAACATCACCAGAATCACGAAAATTCGCCTGATAAGATGCTTGGTCTTTCCAATATTTTTGTATGGCACGGAAACATGCACGGTTCACCTAATAGAGCGAATTCCAGGTCGGGGTACTTAGGACTAGTACCTAGGTGGAATTTTTGATGCATTTTTATATTACAACAACATTACCGTAACAAATGGAGCAACTATGTCGTTGTAACAAACCAGTTGTAAATTAGTGATCTCTTCCTCTAGCAGTGGCAGTTACATTTAGCCGGTATCGTAAGTACTAATTTTCATATATACGTTCGGCATGCAGGACGGGTCTTATACTACATTCACTCTCATACTAAATGAAACCGAACTGTGCTGGATAGGCTAGATATAACCGCCACGCTCATTGAAGCTGGGTTTTCACCGTGAAAGAGTAATGAGCTAAAAATGGCCAAACGAAGCTGACTTCGTTTTCATAGGTAACTGAATTATCCAATAAAGCTAGGTTTTTATAGAATAGTATTTTAATAAATAGCACTGATTCTTCTTTGAATTCTTTATTGTTTTTATGACATAATTTAAGTCATTTTACAAATGTGTTAAATGTAAAAAAAGTATTAATAACCATGAACCTTTCTATGTTTCAAAATTTACATATAAGAATAGTCCACACTGTATACATTTCAACACTAGTCTTATTTATGAGTAGGTATACTGTACTTATCTATATACTTGTTATAAATAGGGTATCTATATCTTCAAATAATATAGACATAAAATTACAAATAGAATCTATCAAAACATGATGCGGATTTCTTGCACTTGGATTTCATCCAAGAATATACTTAAAAATCATTTACATTAAATTGCCGGCCTCGAGTCAGCAATTTTAGACTATGTATTTTATCGTGGATGCATAAGATGACATGATGGCGCGGATGAGTCGCACATAAATAGGTATTCAAAATAAGTCGAGTGAGAGCGAATCCTTTGCGTGTCGGTCAACCATGCTCACTGGTATAACGCCATCCACGTATACTGAAAGTCTCTCTTGCTCGGTCACCACGCACAATTGTGTTGTTTTTTGTTACGTAGTATAAATTTCCGTTCCCAAATGAAATAGGGAACAAGGACAAGCAAACGAATAACGACTTAAAATATGACATTTAGTACTAAATTGTTGCATGTGTCATATTTAGATAAATTTGATTAACCCTATTTTATGCTATTTTAACATCAGCTATGAGATCTTTGTTAGGCGGTACCCATCCTCCAAAGGCTTTTTCAAATTCTTTAGCAACGGCTATAGTTAAATGATCATTGCATTTGTTCGCTGCTATTTGTATGCCTACTGGCAGTCCATTGCTGGTGAAGTCAATAGGGCAAGCTGTTACTGGTATTCCTAGTACGTTGAAGATCGTCAAATAACTGCAGTTCAGGAATTTGTAGTAAATTCTGTAATGTAAATCTGCTACGTATGGGTATGTTGGGTAGAACAATATTCCGTCGTTGGATAGCGTATTCTGGAATTAAAACGTAGTCTTGTTAGTGTTAATATTTACCAATATTCATTATATTCATTCAGACGTAATATTTTGTGAAATATTTATAAATAAAGATTATCTGACTCAGGATGCAGGTTATATTAAAACCTAGCCTCAATAACGTTTTATATTTATTATTGTGCATGAAAGAAAGTTTTGCATTGGAAAAATATGATAGACAACCAATAAATGGACTTAACTTACATAGAATTCAGTTTTGATCTCGTCGAAAATCTTTAGGAGTTTGGCAATATCACTCTTTGGAAGTGCACACATGAACTTATGTAGTGGTCCGTAAGCAACACACGTGAAGTTGTTATTTGTTAGTCCCAATAATCTCTTGAAGAATTCCGGCCACATAGACAGAAGTTTGTTGCGATTCTCTGGGTCTGTATAGATGTTGTGGATATTCTTTATATTGAATAAAACCCTGATGCTGATTTCCCACATGTGCTCCATATTCTTTATCTTGAGCTACAATATCGTCATAATTACTTTATAATGCGAACAGTAGTAGTAGCAAGATTAGCAAGTCGCTATGTTAGCAATTAATTTTTTGGACGATTCAAAAGTACTTGTAACAAGCTTACTTGAATAAAGATATTTTCATTTCATTTTATTTCAATCAAATTTAAACCTTGGAAATCACAATATGATTTATAACAAACAAAAAGAAGGACAGAGGTTGCGTGACTTATTTTGCATTTTTAATAAACGGCTACTTATAAAATGATACATAATTAGTATCTAGTAGTAGTTACTCTAAAAATTACATATACTTATACTTACGTGTTCGACTTCAATGTCATAAGTAGTCTTCATATAGTCTTTTGCTTTTTGGAGAGCTTTCCTGACATCTGATCCGATTGGGTTTGTGATATTGCTGCCTTCTCCTTCCATATAATAATATTTAAGTTTCTTGACATTTACCTAAAAAGTTTGTTACCATTAATTTAATTTTAATTTCACTCTCAGAGAAAATCATCTATTTGTTATCTGAAATGAAATGAGCTAACTAGTCAGATGTATTTATTTCTATTGTAAAAAGTTTTACATAAAATCTCTCACAATAAACTACGGTAACAACATGGCATAACTAACAGTTTACGAAAAAAAAATAGCCAAATTGGTTTGAGATTTACTTACGTAACTATCCAAAGGCACATAGGGTCCACTGGGTTCTCTAAGAATTTTAAGAAGGAGCGTTAAATCCTCAGCATATCGTGTTATGGGCCCAAGAGCAAAGTATTCCTCGAAAGAATCGTCAGTGCAATCTGGTACATGTCCTAGAAAATTATTCACAAAATGTTGATTGAAATGTTTGGCGTTAGTGAAGAATCATCTCTTACTATAAGACAGTTATTTAAGTCAGAGAGATATGATAAATGGTAAATAGTAGGAGATTTAAGTTATATCTGGTTTAAAAACTAAAAATGTAACAATGATTTCTAACCTGACTTAAAATTAAATTTATTACGTTAATTATATTATTTAAAAGTAACTGATATGAAGGAAGTTTAGATATTAAGCATGGATGTATCGGTTAATATGCATTTCCGTGTGCAGTAACCGAATGAATTTATTTCTTGGGTAATTGTATAGAAATCGAGGCCGGCTGTTGCATTCATTGAACGATTATGAATTGGTTACGCGAATAGCATTGTTGAACAGTTAACAAATTGTAACGGTAATTATATCACCATTAATCCAAATATACTTCCTTTACTTTTTTAAATAACTCTGAATTTTTTTTTCTCTAATACTAACTACTAACAACTGTTACGAGCAAAACAGTTGTTATGGAAAGCGGTGGTAATTACTTTTTAATATTGCGACTTACAATTCTGTATAAAACAAAAAAGCTTGATCATGATGTGGAAAACGGATTCGGTCTATGATCGCAAAGACAAGCAGTAAAGACAACCAATAAATCATTATTTGAAGTTATGTTTTCATCGGAAAGTGTGTTTTAAGCCGTTATTCTGGTAGCAACTATGGTCGTTGACACTCACCGATCTACATTAGGCCCGCGTAGAAATGTCTTTACTTTATAATGGGGTCACTAACAGGCCAATGAATCATAAAAAGCAGAAACAATTCTTGTTGTTTACCCTCATTATGAGATATACCTACAGCCGGAGGTTTCTCTACGCATACAATTTTTTATCATTCTCTTTAAGAACTAGTTATAATATCACGTAAGTTTTATCCCTAGAAACAAATTGAGTTGAACCCCTTGTTGAGTATTACGTTATCCATTGGCCCTATTATGGGGAAACCTGAACCTGCTAGTAATAATTAAGAGTCTAGTTTACGCTGTTCTAATTAAGATAAAACTGCGTTTGTGTATATCGCACCCCCGGTGCGACACTGTCACTTTTGCAAAAAATACAAAAAATAGTAAAATATGTAATAATTGTCCTAAAGCCCCCTTTACTTGGTGAGATAATGTTACTTTTGTAGATGAATCATACAGAACTATGTTCCGTATGATTCATCTCATCTGTATCTTCTAAAGTCATTGTTTTGTGAGGTGACAGAGTTTAAAACTCTTCTCCTGAAAAACTAAATTTTTGCATAAGTGACAGTGTCGCACCGGGAGTGCGATATTATTATTAAATTGCCATACCTTGAACAGATAATAACCTGGCCGTGGGCTTGTGTCCAAATATTCCAGTGAACATCGGCGGTAGTCTAAGTGAACCCGCAATGTCAGATCCCAAGCCGATTACAGATGCAGCCGCAGATATTAAAGCGGCCTGAAATATAACAAAAAATATTCTACTTTTATAAGGTATCATTTTTCATGTTGCGAGATGTGAATTTTCTTTATAAATCATTTGTGGAAATTTAAAATAAATGATTAACAAGAGCCGACTGACTTTTTAACAAGCTATACGACAGCAATTACAAATATCATACGACAGTAATTACTGTAATGCTAAAGTATGATAGCACAAAACATTGCAAACCTTCTCGATGTGAATACAAAATGCATAAAATACATAATTATGATGTTTAAGACTAACGATATGTATACAACTCTGAGATAAAAGCGTGAATCAATATTTAAAGACTGTGAGCGAAATATATTACAACTCAGATGCTTGCTATCCTAATGTGACTCTGAACAAGTTTATATATGAAGATTTTTAAAGGAAAACCTTAAAAATCCATTTTTTCTGGGTTAAACGTATATAAAGTGGGTAATTTCTATAAATTTATTTTTAGAGAGAAAATAAAGGAAACAGTTCCAATCGCCCGATTTGCTCCCTTTTAGATTGTGACCTGGGTATTAGTTTGGAGGGAGGTTACCTAATAAAAATAAATAAATAAAAAAAATATTACCTCTCCTCCAGAGGATCCGCCAGGCGTCCGTTTTTGGTCATACGGATTAGTGGTGACTCCCAAAACGTTATTATATGTTTCCCAGTTCATACATAGTTGGGGAGTGTTTGTAACAGCAATTGGAATGCCACCAGCCGCTCTCGCGTGACGTACAATAGTGGCGTCTGCTTTCGCAGGATTTCTGTAAGGATGCACTGTACCACAATCGTTGCTCATTCCTGGAATTAAGATAAGCAAAGGATTATTTAACACTACTGTATAAGGCATTCGAATCTTTAAAATCGTATTTAGTGAAACAGTATTCTCAATCATATGGCTGGTTAAGAAACATCGGTGATTGGTCGAATATGAACAGAATTGAAAAATAGTTGCCTGGCATTAGACAAGAGTAAATTCGTTGAGTTTATGGTGAATCTCCAATAAAGTAGAGAGTCAAGAGAAAAAAAGTCAAATACAATTTCAATGATTTGAATTACAACAACGACGTTAAATTTAAAAAAGAAAAACTGCCTACTCAATCGCCGCATTATAACGAAGTAATTATGTCAATGCTCTGTGCTATTTGTTATTTCTTGTTTTATTTGAACTTTGTTATGTCCATGCAAAAATTTAGGAATGCGATATTTACTATTCCAAATTTAATTGAAATATTAAGTGACCTCTTTTTCCTTTGTCCAAACGGAAATAAAAGCACACCTAAGTTTTTAACTTGAATATGAAATTGTGACGTGATCCAAATTAAACGGTTTTGTCTAAGCATATATCTAGTTACAAGTTAACTATGTAATGTACAAAGAATTTATTTCGCAAGTTTATAACGTTATGATCATGAGTATGCTTGTAGTTTAGAGGGAAGTTGCTCAAGAAATCGTGTGTTCTACTTGAAGGGTTATGAATATGATTTGCAGAACAAAGGTTAGATAACTTCAATTCATTTTATACCCTTATCTGAACAATCCGTAATCGTAACCCTATTCTTGGCATTGGGTATTATTTGATACGTTAACTATCAAATTTTTTTATGATCTGAAAAAGCACCTTTCACGATTATACGATATTTGATAAATTTTGCATTCACAATGCTATATTGGAAAATATTGTTAATGAAAAATACTAAAAAGGAACCACTTTATTCACGGCACTCTGATATGGGGTTCGAATTCATTTTCGCAATCCGGGCGACTGGTTTAACCAAGGAGTTACCCAAAACCTTACAATACTGATGAATTTTTCAAATACTTGTTACTTTTTCGCTATTACAGAGCATATTTTCATTAATGTTCAGGCAATTCACCCAAACAGTCGAAAGAAATATTTTTACAAATAGTTAAGCTTGCGATAAATGTCAAAAAAAAAATCTAATGATTATATTTAAACAATTTTGCATTCATAATTTAAAAATTCATAATTAAATATTTGTAAAAACGAAGTAATAGTTAAAGATGGTTGCGAAAATTGTTTTCTACTTATGAACGTAGTTTGTGGGAACGTAAAATTTTCAAATAAAATTTTCATATGCGACTGCTATGGTAGTTGCCAAGTCCAAGTCATTATTTTTACTGTTACATATTGTTAATATTTAAGGCCGGAAATAGTCTGAAGTTTGACAGTATTGTGTAATCTGATCTGCTAGAAATAAAACAGCAAAGTCTTGTACATACTTATTCCCATATTGATGCAGAAATAAATATTCTTAATTCCGCAGATCTGAATAATTTAAATTAGATCTTGCAAGGACCTCATAATAAAACTCGATGAAATACTAAAATGTTAATATATATTCTTGAAGGAATCTACTATATTTATTAAAATTTGTTTTAAAAAAATCTGTAAACCTGACAATGTGTCAAATATGATACATACATTTGATAATGTTAATTTCCATAAACTTAGCAATGTACCGTTTAAGATACGTTTAATAAATATTGCAATATGCATTATTAATTTTTTTAGTTACCAGATCGTCTTCAATACATGCCTAGAAACACATTCTAAAGGCAAAAAATAATAAATTCGAAAATAGGTCTTGCCAAGTATAGGGTTAATTAAAAAGTTGCTTCTTTAGTCCACTGCAAAAGGATTACGAGTTAGATAAATATAAATATTTCTTATATGTAGATGTATGTAACTGTGAGATTAAACGAAAGAGAAGTTCTAGTTACTAGGTGAAAAAAATTAAAAACGAGAATGTAACAAAACTATGTAATTGATACTCCGTATTTGTAAATATTTTACTTTTTGCACTTTGGTTTGTTAACTTACGTTCAAAATAACTATTTGTTTGGTCAATAATATACTACTTTTTATAATGTGTGAAAGTATTAGTGCCACCCAATAATATTAGTACTACCAGGGAGATGCATTGGTTCTAAAAAATATTTCTGTGACGACTACTTTACCTATGTAAGACAGGATGGATTAATCTTTAAAAAAATATATTTAATTAGAACTTGATCAGTTCAATTTTACATAGAATAGACTAAATATAATTACATGCTCAAAACATTAAAAAAAGAGTAGTAAAAGGTTGTCAATCTCTACCAGACAACTGTCAATAGAGTTGCAAATGCAAAATATGTTAGAGTGGTTTGCGCTCTAAACATAACAAGTTAATTATGCATATTAAAATTACTCATTTGAATAAAGATAATTTTGTCTAAACATATAAAATCGTATATCCCGGGCAGTACACTTGTATGCAACAAAAAATTCACACACAAAAATTTCTAATGTATTAAGGCATTAGTTACATATAAGCAGATATCTCACCTTCAACTGCTATACTTTCTTTAACAGTAAAAGGCACTCCTAATAAAGGATATTCTTTGGCCAACTCATCAGGTGTTTTTGTAGTAGATGCGATCATTTTATCTATGGCCCTTGCTTCTCTTAAGGCGCATTCGTATCTCGGCTCTACAATAGCGTTCAGGTATGGATTTACCTGTTTACACCGTTCTATAAAAGCCGTCACAACTTCCTCTGATGTGATCTGAAATTAAAAATCGTTGATTTTATTAATATTAAACAGGCCCATTTATAAGCTTCAGCTGTTTTCCATTTATCACAGAGCTGTAGGTTTTGGACTATAATAAATAGACATCTTTTTTGAAGTTTATTTAATACCTCATTTATCCTGCTTTTTTATGGTCGATTTAACAAAAAGATCAATAAAATTTAAAGAAAGATATTTAAAGTATCGAAATATTTATCATATTATCTTACCTCCTTGTTTCTGATCATTGCAGTCAATGTTGTTGCAGATTTGAATAGAATAGAATTGGTTGGTGGCGGACATTTTCTCGTTCTCTTGATGCTTAATATATACGTTAAAGGATACACTATAATTGCTAATAAGGAGACTAGAAATCGGAGACTCCTCCTGACGAAATCGTTCAGCATACTTGTCTGAAACAAAATTAAAATGAACTTTGAAATTTCATTATATTCATTTTGCAAAAGAAATCTAAAAGACAAATTACTTATAGTAAGCGGAAGCTTTTTAAGAAACTGGGAATTCAGGCATTATTTTTTGACTTCACTTCAAAATCGTATCGTCCAAACTTCAGCCAAATAATTTGTATTCTTTTTTCTGCCGAGATAATTTAATTTAGACAAGTTATTTATGTCAAATTATCGTATTAGTAGTAAACGCAATTTTTTTTTAAACTTAATTAAACTATAATTACGTCTATTTAAAAACGTTATTAGTTCGCAAAAGAATATTTATTCTAATCTTCAAATAAAATATTAATACGAACTGCCAGAATTGATTGAGATCTTTACTTGTGGCGCAAACTATGTATGGAGTATGGATCATCTCCTCTAGTTTTAATTGAAACGAACGAAGGTCGTCAATGTGTTAGGTCAGTGACCGATATGATTGCAGTAGTCGTATCGGTGCATTGAATAATCAAATACAGTCGGCGTACTTTAGCATTCAGATACCACAATGAGTTTTATCATTTTAACGCAATGAAGTTGTAAGCGGACATTTGATATCTTCGGATCAATGTAATAATATAATTTTTACTCATATACTCAATATTTGCTTATGTTTGGATGTTACTATCCTATATCCCTATTTTCTGGTGGGGTCAGCACGCGGGCAGCTGACTGGAGGAGAAACTCTTCATAATGGGCCAACAGTTTGGAGGGCATGCCCAAGGCTGTTGTGAGTGAGTAACCCCTCCTCAGGCAGTAGAGATAATACGTAACGCAATTTTTATTGGTCAAAAAAGGTATATGGTAAATAATGCTACGTATAATATCTGCCTGAATGCATGTTTACTAAGACTAACTTTCTGACTAGCTAAACCTAAATACCTACATTATACCGTTGTTCTCGCTGTACCATAATTACTTAATGGGTATTATTAACCCGTTTGAGGTTAGTAATGGGACCAAATTAGTGTTGTTACCTATACAATGTAATGAGAAGACACTTGTAACATCAATAACTATTATATATAAGTTAGTAAGTATTCCAACACTCAAGAAAATGAATATAAATATTTCATAGTGAGATATCACTCCCTCAAGCTGCATGAATAGTCAGTATAAGACATAATTTGTGATAGAAGACGATTTATTATCGCTAGGAATCGTCGCCTACCATAAATTGCGTGTACCATTAAATCTATTAATTGAACTCTACAAAACCGCTTTCAGCCTTTATATATAGCTAATTTAACTAGCAGTAAATTCAAAATCATTTGTGGTGTTTCCCAGGGAAGTGCTTTAAGTCCGATGCTGTTTTTGATATACATTAAGTGTGTATATAAACAAACACATAGAGTAACACAGATGGCTTAAGCACACAAATTAATATTTTTTTATAGCGGAAATAACATTTTCTCAGTTGCTCTAACTAAAACAAAATACTTGTTATGTTGTTATGGCAATAACAAACTACAATAGTAGGTACTTACAACCGTTACCTTCATTCAGATTCAAGACAAATTTGCCAATACTTTTTTTTTTTACATTTTCTCAATTGATCCGAGTCTTCAGACATAGCTATGCTAGAATATAACTAACAACTCAGTTGTAATAATAGTACGCAACACAATGCCAGTGAAACAGTTTCTGATTTTGTCAATCGTATTACATAAATCACCGCAATTCTAAAGTGAATCGAAACGAGACCATTTGGACGGAAAACTAGTTATGCGAATAAGCATTGCGTTTACTTCATGCACAACTATGTATATAGGTAGTAAGTTACTTCTTAAGTTGACTAACATTCAACAAAAATAATGCTATTATACGTCTAACAATATAGCAGTTTACATATTCCTCGTTTGAAGACAAATTTAGACCGACTTGACATATATTTAATTTTTTTAAATATTTGTTGTAACAATTTAAAGTTTATAGAGAATGCGTTAAAACGATTAAGTGGGAACATCTTATGATATATTTCTATGCAACCAAGACTAATGATCCTAATGATGGATGATTGGTAAATATTTTTTTATTGCTATACAAATAAAATAAAGATACACCCAAAGGAATAAAACTAACAGAATAGCGTTGTTGATGCTAACAAATATTAATGACAATTATTTTTATATAATTTATTAGATATGTTTACACCATGTCCGAGTCAACTTCATGAACTATCCGTGCTAGAGATAATAATTTTAGTTTATTTATTCCGCAATTTTGCACTTTGTACTGCCAGTGATTTTAATGTTTTGAATGGACGAGATATATCACAATAAAACTTATTACACTACGTATATCACTTCACTAATTTAACGCAACATTTTGAAGTGAGACACAATTAACTAAATACCTTTGAAGCAAATTTTGTAATAAAAAATCCAATGAGGTATGTCATTATAATATAAATCTTCACAGTGACCTTTTCAAAATACGGTGGATATATCAAGTTAAAACTGTTTAATAACAGCTCCATTATAATAAATCCGTGGTAAATAAAAGAACTGATTATTAATAACACAACACGAGTAAAAACGTTGACACTTGTGTTGAAGAAAGTCACAAAAGAATTATTTATTATGAAAAACATTTCACTTTTAATAATAATTTATTTTGTAATTCAACGTCCGATCGTGTTAAAGCACTTGGTTACACTGAGAGAGGTGAAGTTAAATCATTAAAAGTTTTTGACGATTAATTGACCATGAATAAGTTTATCTGTATATGTGTTATCTACGAGTTCAGATTGAACAAATATCTAAAGAAAGTTATATAGATAACGTGTGAATATAAGTAGATAACTTTGTTAAGTACCTATATATTATCAATATATTATTAAAAGGCGGACACCCGTTGCATAAACGTTAATTAAAGTTTAATGATGACTTTCAGCTATGATCAATGTTTGAAATTAGAAAATTTGTATCGATAGTGTTGCTTTAAACTAACGACAATTTTAACGGACGTTCCTAGTTCGATGAGGGATTTAAAAAAATACTTTGGAGGTCATATACATGGTAGTTCTTCTTAGTAGAGATAAAATTAAAAATAAAGTATGGTACATACTAAATTTGCGAGTCAAGTCCTGCTTTTACTCGAGTCACTCGAGTAAATTTTTCAAACACGTACTCGAACGAATTTTACAAACTCGTACTCGAATGAAGAAATATCATTCGAATTTCTATGTACTCGAGTTATCGAGTCAACTCTGCGCATCGATTTGATTCTCTTGCAACTAGGTGTCACTTTGCTACTCTATTTATTTATGCCGTTTATTTTTTATTTCCTTGATTAGGTACTTATATAAATAATATGTCAAAACTTTTTCAATGTGTATCTCATTGTTGTATTTGTTTGCAATTTTTTTACTCGAGTGAGGTAGTTAATTGGCTCGAGTGGCTCTAGTCGCAAAATCCTATTCGAGTCACATCAGTAGTCCATACGTCTAATAAATAACTAATCTAACTCTCATTATAGAATATTTATATATATAAACTTATATAGATAATATTTATATAGATAAATAATATCCTTTATTGTACACACAAAACAAAATACACTTATATAACGAATTGAGTTTTTTTATAAAAAATATTCTTGTTATAATTGTCACGGGTTTGATTATAGAAGCCACAGATTTAAATGTATGATCAAGTAAAGAGCTGCCTAGTCAAGAAGCACTAAAACACATTTCTTTTAATAAATTTAAAATCGAAATAAATTATACAAGTTTTATCTCATCAACTGGTTTTTATACATACGTGGTGATAATACGAGCTCCACGTATGTATAAAAACCAGTTGATGAGATAAAACTTGATGTTGTAATAGTATGATTAATAAGAGATCGTTGACATAACAGTGAGTTTAGATGTGATTTTATTTTATAATTTGTTGGGATCCGTAATTAATAAGAAGAAACAGAACCCTTATAGTTTCACTTGCGTGTTTGTTTGTTCATACGTCACACAGTTGATTCGCCTTCTCCGAAAGTAGGCAATCAACTGAGCGAGTTGTTTAGTTGCAAGTAGATTTAATAAATAGCAAGCAAAAGACGACCATTTATATTTTTTTAAAACTGTAGGTCCCTGACCTTGGTCATTAGAAAATCAGTTTTCAAATATATTTTAGTACCTACAATTGTATGTAAGCTATTTCTTACCCGACTGCGCGACGCAAAGTAGGGTAATGTGTTTATCAGTCTATGTATGTATGTATATATGTATGTATGTTTGTTTCTATGTGGCGTTCTAGAAACCAAATGCGTAGGCCGATTTTGATGATTCTTACGTCAATCGATTTGTCTTAACCTTGCGAGTGTCACTAAAGACATGAAAGTAATCAAAATTCACCACAGCGACAACCAAACGCCATATTGTCAAAATGAAAAAATAAAAATCGATGAACTATGTCAAGTGGGGTGTCGTTGAATAGGCATTATAAAATTATCTTTAGGTTCCTTTTATCATTTTTCATTTTAAATAATAGTTTAGGATATGTAGCGATTTAAAGTTGTTTAACAAAACATTATGAGTAATTTTCTTACTTATTGATTTGTTTTTATTTAAAGTATAAACGATATGCAAACAAAAAACAAAGAGTGAAAAACCATGAAGAACAAATATTTTTGGTAAAAAAATAAAGCATTTGTAGCTTTGAGCCGAGTTAGGTCTCTTGAGGGACTAATCATCGGTAGTTTAGACCACCGCAAGTTACTTAATAATCTCCACGATATTAACTCCCTCAATGAAACGATTAGATTGCGATATTTGCCATCTTATAAGTCAACGAATCTAAAAAGTATAAAATAAAAATAAATAATTTAAAGGAAAACAAAAAAAAAAACCCGACTGCATAAAAACCAATTTTACCAATCAAATCTTCCCAAGGGGCCCCGACTGTGAGTCGTTCTGTTCTGTATTACTTAACAGAATTCTAAACTACTGGGCTTGTTTCTTTCTTTTAAGTTTTTATTTAAGTTAATTTTTTCAAGTATTTTTTTAAAATTCGTTTTTACGAAGCTCTCTTTGCATAATATTTATGTAATAATAAAAAATAACAT